ACATAATTCGTAAGATATGTACAGATTTGGAACATTCAACTTACACACTTTCCTTATGATCTTAACAATATCTTCACAGACAGTTAGTGTGCACTTTAGTCATTTGATGGTACCAGATGACTAGCTATTTGCCTTTTAAGGCAATTATTTTATACCTGCTTCAGGGAGCGATCAGTTCAATGATCATTGAAAGTGAACCAATCTTCAAGCAACTCCATTGTAATGCTGTGTGGATCCAAACCGAGCTGAGTATTGAAGTAAGGAAGCAATAGAATATCACCAGCTGCAAGCGCACAAGAGGGAACTCTGATATCATCATCAGACAGGAGGCCAGGACAGAGAGGGAGCTTCCTGACCTGTATCCCACCTAAGGGAGAGGTGGTGTCTGAGTCTCAGTAGAGCCTTGCAAATATACCCTTTGGACATGTCAATATCAGTTAGTATTCAGCCCACTTCCCTGGAGGGCGATAGGAGAGACATCTATTAACCGTACAATTTTCTGAATCATACCCCAAATCGCTCCTCTCCCCTCCTGGATTGAGGATTCTGTTTATAGCGAGAGGAGCCCAGTGTTGCCACAGTGTCTGATCCATCAAGCTCACGGGCATTGCTGCGTTCTACAGTTGGTGCCAGTGTATGTACGTGAGGTCTATATGCACCGTGAGTCCCGTCTCGATGATTATTGATTTGAGTCACTCAGGCTAAATCTTTTATCTGTAGTTGGAAGAAAAGACTCTGTGCCATTTCCTGTTATATTGTATGTGCAGTCTTATAAAGCCCTCAAAATTGACTATGCTGTACCAAGGGTGTAGACATGAGTGGTACTACAGTCCACCTGACACAATATAATGACTGAAGGTGCAGTGATCTTGCATTGATGCATCCCATATCAGGGCTGTGCAAAATGGAGTGTTATTCACACACAGTGGAAGAAGTCACTTGTTAGCACCATCACTAATGACAGTTATAGAGTTAGGACCCAGGCATTCTGCTGTGGCATATGTACTGACCCCATGCCTCCTGCTTCAGTTTTAACAGAAAGCAGGACTGAAATCTTCATTTGTAATCATATTTTTATCTAAAAGGATGGAAAAAGATCACAATTGTAGGTAGATCAAATTCCTTTGACGTTGCAAGGAGTTGTCCGTTATTATGTATCTGTTTTTTAATGGAAACACTGTCTTAGTGATAGAATTGGTTTATCGTGTTTTAGAAAAATTTTGAATAAATTGTAGGTAGGATTCCTGACCCGCTAAAAGGAAAATGGATTGAGAAATGTTTAATTCTGTGGAGAGTCTCCAATTGACCTGCCAGCTGAACGGACTCTCCTCCAATGCTTGCAACTTAACACTTTATCTGTGATACTAATCGGACTCCTTGCATTTTTATCTGCCAAATAAAATCACAATTTTTTAACAGCCGTCTGCTCTTGTTTTTAACACAACTGGGTGAAATATTCCAAAGGGAAAGGGGTAAATGAGAGTCTCATTAGGGAAGTACAGCAATGAAGACAAATCATGGAGTGAGAACTGCTCATCCCAGAATGGGGCACGGACTTGAGTGACATGCATCATTGAACAGTTCTGAATATCTTATGCCTTTCCTCCGAGTGAACTTCACATTTTCCAACTATAGACAATTTGAGAAAAAAGGACTTGGTTGGTGCCTGTCAGGATCTCTGAACACACTGTAGCATTTTACAGACATTTTACATAAAAGTGCTTTGGCAGTGTAGTCACTGCTGCAATACGATAACAGTGTGCACAGCAAGATCCCACAGTCAGTGGTAAGATAAATGCTCGATAATGTTTTTGTGATGCCGGCTGAAGGATAATTATGATCCAGAATGGTGGATCGACTTCCCAAACTCTTCTTTAAAACAGTGCCATGTGAGCATTTTACATCCACTTAAGGGAGGAACTGGGACCCCATTTAATATTTCATTCAAAAGACAACACCTCTGCCAGTTCAGTACTCCCTCAGTGCTGCACCTGGGTTTGAGATGGGGAAAAAGGCTAGAATAGTTGGTATGTAATCTGCCAATCTATAAAATTGGCCCTTGTTGCTGTAATTTCCAAGTGAATGTATCCATGACACTGGGGCAGAGGGTTACCCATTGTGTGTGTGTGTATTTTTTAACAGCTACAGGGTCAATTTCTCTATGTCTACTGTTGACTCTCAACTCACTGTCTCCATCCCATCAATGAACTGCCCTCTGCATATTCTGTATATTGATGTCAAGTTGTGAACGAATCAGAATTTCTGTGAACAGAATGTTGAGTAGACCTTCAGCCTCAATTAATGTTATTCTCTTTGCACTGACTCTACCCTTCTCAACTGCTCAAGTTACATCAGTCCAGGCAATGCCTGGAAGGATAATACCCATCATCAGTCTCTTTGTCCCTGTCTCAGCCTCATAGCAGTTGAGACGTTAACTATGATTGGTGAGCATTTCTCTACTAGTTGTCATGCCAGCCATCATAAAACTCAGAGGCTTAAATTTCAGCTGCTTGTTATTCCGTCCTGTTTTCCCACCATCTCTTGATGACATACAATGACTCTGAGTTCTCCAAGGTACTGAATTCAAAACCATGCTAATTATTTTCAAAACCTTTTTGCATTCTCATCCTCCCTCATCTCTCTGCAACCTCTTCCAATCTTGTACCTCCTCCTGCACTTCTCAATTCCCCCATAGCCTCCAATTCTCACTCACACCTTGCAATGCTCCTGTATTGCACCGTCAATCATCTTCTACATTTTCAAATCCTCTCACTTCTCTATCCAAGCTTCTTCTCCTTCTTAAACTTTTAATCCTATCATCCCACCCTTGAGTTTTTTCAGTCATTTTCATTCCCTCTTACATTGCATCCTATATTCTAGAACATCCTCTCTAAACCCTATACCTTTCCACTGTTCTGTCTCAATTCCAAAATCTCAAATGCCGTTTTCCCTATACCTTGGCTTTGTGTCACTCCTTCTCCCTGTTCATTCCACCTGTTATATTTCTTCCATTAAGGACACTATATAAATGCAAGTTGGTTTGAAGGAGGTACAAGAATGGGACTTTGGCTGAGTCAGAATGAAGGCACTACTCCCAACCTGAGGTGTCACCCACAAATGAGGCAATTAATGTTGAGGTTTTTAGAGGATAAAAGGCCACGGTTCATCCAATTCACTTCAAAGTTATAGAATCATGGAATGATGCAGTTAGATAGTCAGATACTTTAGAGACTTTTAAGTGACTCTTGGATAGGCATATGGAGGATAGTAAAATGTTGGGTATGCAGGGTAGTTTGATCTTAGTAGGATAATAGGTTGGCACAACATCATGGGCCGAAGGGCCTGCACTGTGTTGTACTGTTCTATGTTCTTATATGCAGCACATTCAGTCCATCATTTCTGTGCTGGCTATTTGGAAGAACTGTTCAATTAATGCCAGTCCTCTGCCGCTTCCCCATTTTCCCCCCTTCAAGTCGTCATCCAATTATCCCATCCTAGTAGCCACCTGGGATGTTATTGGGTTGTTGACTAATTATGGCTATTAATCCCTTATCAATTAATCTCCATCAGACCCATCAACAAGGCAATGAAACCCCCCCAGTGGTGGAAAGCTTTGGGAATGTTCAGGTTCTTCATTCTTTATTGCTTTTTCTGTGTTTGGAAGCCCCCCAATAATATCACTTTCCAGACTTCTCCATTCCCCCCACACATCCCATGTGGGATTTTCTTGAATGAAAATAATTGGCAAGAGAACCAAATGAGAGATAAATGTCTTTGCACAACATGGTCAGAGTCCCAAGGAAGGTGAAAGTGATGTTGAGGTTTGAGGAGAGATCTTCAGAGCTTAGGAACTTAATGCCTGAGGACAGAGTGAAGGGAACCAGGGAAAGCACCAGAAGCCAGCTGGAAGAGCAGAGATATCTTAAGATGGTTATGAGACTGAAGTTGGTTACAAAGATAGGAAAGGAGAGGCCATAGAAAGATATAAAGATAAACAATGTAATATAAAGATATGGCCAGACAATATAGATTAGCAAGCACAAGGACGATTGATGAATGTGCTGGTGTCAACACGCAACAGAGTTTTGAATAAGTGAAATGCAAAGTATAACAGAGGTGAAGGTCTTTGTGATGGACACACACACAGATATATGCAGATATTCTTAGAGATGCAATCCAATACACACACACACAGATATATGCAGATACTCTCAGAGATGCAATCCAATACACACACAGATATATGCAGGTACTCTCAGGGATGCAATCCAATACAAACACACACAGATATATGCAGGTACTCTCAGAGCTGCAATCCAATACACACACACACAGATATATGCAGGTACTCTCGGAGATGCAGTCCAATATACACACACAGATATATACAGATACTCTCATAGATGCATTACAATATACACACAGATATATGCAAATAATCTCAGAGATGCATTCCAATACACACACACAGATATATGCAGATACTCTCAAGAGATGCAATCCAATACACACACACACAGATATATGCAGATAGTCTCAGAGATGCAATCCAATATTCACACAGATATATGCAGATACTCTCAGAGATGCAATCCAATACACAGACACATGCAGGTACTCTCAGAGATGCATTCCAACACACACACACACAGATATATGCAAATAATGTCAGAGATGCATTCCAATACACACACGTACAAATATACGCAGATACTCTCAAGAGATGCAATCCAACACACACACAGATATATGCAGATACTCTCAGAGATGCAATCCAACACACACATACAGATATATGCAGATACTCTCAGAGATGCAATCCAATACACACACAGATATACGCAGATACTCTCAGAGATGCAATCCAATACACACACACAGATATACGCAGATAACCTCAGAGATGCAATCCAATACACATACACAGAGATATATGCAGAGAGATGAAATCCAACACACACACACTCCCACGTTTCCTTTCTGGCTGTGCAGGACTCTGATTCGAGCAAGATTGGAAGCCTCTCCTCCCAGCTCCCTCCCCCGGCCCTCCTCTCTCCCGGGGCAGTTTCAGATCACTGACCCCTGGGCCAGGCCGGAGAGAGCCCGCGGGATCCCGGATTGTGTGGGGACGCTGCTGTCCCTCTCTCGGCCTCTCGCCATGGCCAGGACGCTGTACCGCGTAGCGCTGCTGTGCCTTGTGCTGTCCCAGGCGGTATCCTGTGAGTATCTCCCTGATCATTGCGCTGTGTCTCCGAGAATCCCTCTCCACCCCTCCCACTCGTCCTCCAGCATTTCCCGGAGCCACCGCAATCCTATTGTTTTTTGTTTGTTTTGGTGCATTTCATCCCGCAAAAGCTTCACAGCAGGGCGGGCTGCTACTGGCCTGGTTATTAAGCGTGTTAGTAACCAGTCACAGATTAATGTTGCGGTCAGTTTCACTGTCATTAGTAGGGTTTTCAAATCCCTTTCAGATTCGTTGTTCCGCAACTAATTGCACAAAACTGGAAGCAAATCGACCAGATTGTAACATCTCACATTCTCTCTCTCATCCTGTTTAATCAGGGTGCAACTGAAGCCCAAGGAAGAGACAATCTTTGACTATTGAATGGTGCAGCTGATCCTGACCTGCGTTTTTCTACAATACAGCTCTCACTGCCCTCGCCCGATTTGTTGCAAATTGTATTGTTTACATTTTCCCACATGACCGTCAGGTTCAAGCAACAGCCTTTGCTACAAATGAAACCTTGTGGGGGGCATTCTGGGTGAAAGGGCTAGTTGGTCATTCAGCTCTCCCAACCCAACCGAACCCACCAAGAAGCTCCCCAGCCAGTGTTGTGCCCTTAGACATTATTATCCTGGTTTTCAAATCCCTCCCAAGCCAATCTTCCTCTCCCCTATCACTGTAACCTCATGGAGACCCACAACTCTCTGCATTCCACCAATTCTGGCCTCTTGAGCATCCCACGATTTCCATGGCTCCACCATTGGTAATTGGCCTGGCCCCAAGCTCTAGAATTTCCTCTCCAAACTTCTCAGCCTTTCTCCTGCCCCCTTTAAGTACTCCTTAAAACCAGACTCATCATTAGTCATTTATTCTAATACCTCTGCATGTACCTTGAGGTGAAGATAATGTTCCAGTGAAGCACCTTGGGAAGATTTGCTATGTTAAAATCACTATGTAAATGCAGCACAGTGGTTAGCACTGCTGCCTCACAGCACCAGGGACCCAGGTTCAATTCCAGCCTCAGGTGTCTGTGTGGAGTTTGCATGTTCTCCCCATGTCTGTGTGGGTTTCCTTCCACAGTCCAAAGATGTGCAGGTTAGGTGGATTGGCCATGCTAAATTGCCCGTAGTGTTCAGGGATGTGTAGCTTATGTGGGTTATAGGGGGATGGGTCTGGGTGGGATGCACTGAGGTTTGGTGTGGACTTGTTGGGCCAAAGGGCCTGTTTCCACACTGTAGGGATTCTATAATTGCAAGTTGGTATTTTTTCTTTAGGTACAAACAGCAGTCCACAAGAGATTAAGGACAGAAATGCCATCTGAATAGTAACAGAAATTGAAGTCACAGAGTTCTGTGTTCACGAGATAGAATCAGTTTAAGAAAGTCATTTTGTACTCTTCCCCCATCCTGCCTTCCATTTTACTTGCTCTACCAGGCCTGGGAGCTCAGTGTCAGTGTTAACAGCTCCATGACTGCCTCTGACATATTCTACAACCACCTCACACTCTCTGGAACTAGCACTTTCCAATGTTGCTACATGCATCCAACACCAAGACCACAAACTCCATCAGTGAACTGCAATCTCTCCATCCATGCATCCTTCTTCAATTCTTAAATGACATCAGCATCTCACCATCTTCCTCTGTGCTCAGAGCTGTAAGTAGAAATGTGAGGTAAAATCAGATGTGAGGACTAGATCAATTTCTCAACGTTCAGCTCATCATGCCTGTGACAAGCCTTGAAAGAATATCCAATCAGTTCCATTCTGCTGTCCCTTCTCCATAACTCTGCAAACTTCCCTTTCTCAACAGTTATTTGTTCCCTTTGGAAATTCCAATGAATCCACTTCCACTGTCTTTTCTCTTTCCCGTGTGATTATAATATTAATTTAAGCCTAAGGAACAATCACAAACCGTTCAACACTGCTCAAGTTGATTTCTGCATTTGTTGTGAATCAGTGCTTCTGACAATATTTTGGATGATGTGGGATGAATGCTAATGCCAGAAAGAGTAGTGCCATGGGAGGCCTGGTAAAGTTTACAGTGCCTGTGTTTTTAGGCAGTCTTCCTGATAGAGTTGTTGAATAGATGCTATCCACATTGTTGTGACATTGAGAAGCTGGGTTACACACTGGACTGAGGTCTATCTTTTCATTACTGTCTCCCTACCCCTCTCTCACCACTCTATCCTCCATTGTTCCTCCTGTTTACCCCTCCTCCTCTTCTTCCTCCTGCCCCCTTGCCACTTTCCAGCTCCTCTCCCCCAGTCTCTTCCTTATTCTGCCCTCTCTTCTCTTCCTCTTATCCCTTTTCACATCCTTCCCCTTCCTGCTATCCCCCTCCTCTACACACCAGCCATTCCACACCCCTCCTTTTCTTGTCTCTCCATTCCAAATGTATGATATGATGATATCCAACAACCATGGTTGATGAATGTAAGTCATGAGGTGGCATTAAAAGACATTACCATGAAAGGTGCCATTGTTGACCTTGACTGCCCCCTGGTGGTCATTCAGCCAAAGAAGTAATTGGAGGGTCAGATCTCCCTGTTGGTTTATGACTGACTAAAATGGGAAGCATTTGTTTGGGAAGCCTCTCAAGAGACTTGTCAAGAACGTGCAGAGGTTAAAATGAGGTGTCGGACAGATTGCACAAACTTCCAAATGATCCATCTACTCAACTCTTCCAGCAGCCATGGGCCTGCACATGGCAGTGTCTGTAGATAGTGCTTTGGGCCTCTCAGCCATTTCAGATTCATCAAACCAGAGTCATCCCTAATCCAAAGGTAGCACCTAAAAAGAAGAAAGAAAACTACATTTCTATGGCATCATTCTTCACCTCAGAATGTCTCAAAGAGGTTTAATTGGAATGGGGTACTTTTAAAGTGTGTCACTATTAAAATGTAAAATTGAAAGTGAGGGACAACAAAGAGAATATTTGATAGGATCTTCTCTCTGCATTGGTTTCACCTGCAGTCACTATCAGTAAATTGGTCAAATCTGCCCAAAGAACTTTTGGTGGATGACTTTTTAAAGTCGAGTAAGTCCTCGCTTTAATTCGCTCTGCTTAATGTCATTGAATTTTAACCTTGTTGATTCTTTGAGTTGATTCTTTTACTAGTTTTCGTTGCCTTTCTTATAAACATTATTTGCGTGCGCTGTCGGTGTTTGAGTTGCGCTTTGACATCGTGAGTCATCATTGTGTATTAGTGTGCCAACTGCACCCCAGACTCTCTCTCTACCTTTTGTTCTGATGGTGGGCAACTGGACATCACTGCGCCAGTGTACCTGGGCCATTCCATTTGCTCTGATCCCAGGGAAGGGAGTGAATCACTGGTAGGAGGAAGGAGCAAGTTGTGGCCGCTCATCCCACGAAATGGGCAGCATTGCAAAGCGGAACTTGGAGATGAGGAACAGAATGGTTGAGGCTGGAGTTGGGCATCGGCAGCGGTAGGTGGTGCAGGGCACTGCTGCTACAGGAACAACCTGTTGGTTTCAGGGCCTGGCCCTAGGACTCTACCCCATCGTGTACAGGGGACAGAGGTGGGATGGGGGGCGGGTGCAGTAACTGTCAATGGGAGAAGCTGGTTTCCCCAATCCTGGGTTTCCAGTAACAATCAGGCATGGAACAGCAGAAAACGACAGCGTTACAGCCATTACCGAAACTTGGTTGAGAGAAGAGCAGGACTGGCAGGTCAACATTCCAGAGTTTACATGTTTTAGGCGTGATAGAGAGGGATATAAAAGGAGTCGGAGAGTTGCATTACTGATTAAGGAGGATGTCACAGTTGCACAAAGAGAGGACATCTTGGAGGGCTCATTCAGCAAAGCCTTATAGGTAGAACTCAGGAATGAGGAAGTTGCTATCACTATGAGGAGGTTATGCCATAGGCCTCTCTATAGCAAGCAGGTGATAGACAAACAGATATGTAAGTAGATCATGCAAATATGTAAAAACAACAGGATTGCTGAAGTCACAAGGAACTGCATCCGCAGTTCTTTCAGTTTTTCTAAGGTTGTTCAAGTGGGTGATTTTAACTTCCCCAATATTAACTGAGTGCCAGGAGCTTAGATGGGGTAGAATTTGCTGGGTGCATCCAGAGGGTTTCTTGAAACAATAGGTAGATAGTCCAGCTGGGGAAGGGGCCGTACTGGACCTTGTACTGGGGAATCAGCCTGGACAGGTGATCAAAGTTTCTGCAGGGGAGCATTTTGGGAACAGCGATCATAACTGTAATTTTTAGTAAAGTTATGGATAAGGATAAGATTGGGTGAAAGTGTTAAATTGGGGGAAGGCTGATTAAAACAGTATTACGCAGGAACTGGAGAAATTAGATTGGGGTGGCTGTTTGAGGGTAAATCCACATTGCTGTGAGGGAGTCTTTTAAAGGCCAGTTAATCAGAGTTCAAGACCAGAATGTTCCTGTGAGGATGAAAGATAAAGATGGCAAGATTCGAGAACCTTGGATGATAAGAAATATTGAAAGCTTAGTCAAAAAGAGAAAGGAAGAATATGGAAGGTTTAGGAAATTGAAATCAGACAAGGTCCTTAAGAAATATAAACGAAAGAGGAAAGGAATTAGGAGGGCTGTAAAGGCCCATGAAATTTCCTTGGCAAGTGGCATTAAAGAGAATCCCAAGGCATTTTATACATATATTAGGAGCAAGAAGGTAGCCAGGGAATGAGTAGGTCCATTCCAGGACAAAGGAAGGAATGTATGCATGGAACCAGAGGAAGTGGTCGTAATTAGTATATTGCATTGGTCGGTGAGTGTTACATCAGTGATAGAGAAATTATTGGAGAAAATGCTTAGGGACAAGAATTATTCACATTTGGAAAAGAATGGATCATTCAGGGATAGTCGGTGTGGCTTTGTGTGGCGAAGGTCTTATCTCACCAATTTGATTTTTTTTTGAGGAAGGGATGAAAATGATTGATGAGTGTGGGTCAATGGAAGTTGTCTACTTTATTAAGATATTTGACAAGGTCCCTTATGGTAGCATGGTCCAGAAGATTAAGTCACATGGGATCTATGGTGAGTTGGGAAATTGGATGCAAAATTGGCTTGGTCATAGAAGTCAGAGAGCAGTTGTGGAGGTCTGTGACCAATGGTGTTCCGTAAGGATCAGTGCTGGGATCTCTGTTGTTTGTAATGGATACTAATGATTGAGATGAAAATATAGGTGGTCTGATTAGTACGTTTGCAGAGGACATGAAAATTGGAGGAGTTGTGGATAGTGAGGAAGGTTGTCAAAGGATTCAGCAGAAGACAGATCAGTTGAAATTTGGGCAGAGAAATGGCAGATGGAGTCTAATCCAGACAAGAGTGAGATGATGTATTTTGGAAGGTCAAATGCAAGAGGAAAGTATACAGTAAATGGCAGGACCGTTAGGAGCATTGATGCACAGAGGGATGTTGGGGTGCAAGTCCATAGCTCCCTGAAAGTGGCAACACACTGGATAAGCTGATAAAGAAGGCATATGGAATGCTTGCTTCATCAGTCAGAGCATTAAGTATGAAAGTTGGCAAGTCATGTCTGTACTGTACTGAGTACAGTTCTGGTCACTACACTATAGGAAGGATGTGGAGGCTTTGAAGAGAGTGCAGAAAAGCTTTATTAGGAATGTTGCCTGGATTGGAGTGTATTAGCTACAAGAAAAGGAAGACAAACTTGGATTGTTTTTGCGACCTGACAGAGCAATGTAAAATTATGAAAGGCATGGATGGAGTGAATATTTGGAGTCCTTTTTCACCAGGGTGGAAATGTCAAATACGCAGGGAGCATAGGTTTAAGGTGAGAAGGGGAATGTTTAAAAGGAGAAGTGCAAGGCAAGTTTTTTACAAAGAGGGTGGTAGGTGCCTGGAACACCCTGCCAGGGGAGGTGGTAGAAGCAGATACGATAGCAACATTTAAGAGCCATTTAGACAGATACATGAACACACAGGGTATAGAGGGATATAGACCATGTGGAGGCAGATGGGATTAGTTTAGAATGGCATCATGGTCAGCACAGACATGGTGGGTTGAAGGGCCCGTTTCTGTGCTGTACTGTTCGGTGTTTGAGAAGAGCATTCCCAGAGAGACAAAAGCAAAACAACACAACCAATTCATTCAAAAAGTACAACTTCCTTCACCTTCAGCTGTTCCTTCTCATTGTTACTGTTGAATTAGTCAGGCTGTGTCTTCCAATTTATGTTCTAATAAAGACTATCCACTTTTGACATCAGATATGTTGCCTTCATAGGAAAGTTGCCCATTGAGGTATCAGAAATAACCATCTAAAATTGTACTATGTGAATTGCAATGCTTTGCCTTGCATTAATCTGGTATTTTTTAAGGTTTAATGACTTGTTTTACAGAATACAGAAACCTAACTCTGGTCTTAACGTTGCTTCTTATGGGAAGCCACACTTCACTTAAAGTCAGGAAAACAAGCACAACTTTAAGTGAGGACTCTGTAGTGAGTGAAACAGGAAATTGAGCATTGAGTGAGTGAACAATAATTCAGCCAAATGTTTTTGCCTTCACACAGTCCTGTCACACCAACGAGCATCACAATTCCTCACCAGATACCGACGGGTAAATGTGATGTTTGAGGAACACAGACAAGGTTCCCTAGAGCGGGAATGCATTGAAGAAATTTGCAATCTAGAGGAAGCTAGGGAAATATTTGAGAACAATCAAGAAACAGTAAGTACTTTATGTTCTTTGCAGTGGACCATCCACAGAATATCATGGACTCAAATCCCATTCTGAAGACTTGAGTAAATAATCCAGGCTGTCACTCCCCATGCAGTAGATGAAGAGTGCTGCACTGTCAGAGAGTCACTACTGAGGGAGTGCTGCACTGTCAGTGGGTCAGTACTGAGGGAGTGCTGCACTGTCAGAGGGTCAGTACTGAGGGAGCGCTGCACTGTCAGAGGGTCAGTACTGAGGGAGCGCAGCACTGTCAGAGGGTCAGTACTGAGGGAGCGCCGCACTGTCAGAGGGTCAGTACTGAGGGAGCGCTGCACTGTGAGAGGGTCAGTACTGAGGGAGCGCTGCACTGTCAGAGGGTCAGTACTGAGGGAGTGCTGCACTGTCAGAGGGTCAGTACTGAGGGAGCGCTGCACTGTGAGAGGGTCAGTACTGAGGGAGTGCTGCACTGCCAGAGGGTCAGTACTGAGGGAACGCTGCACAGCCAGAGGGTCAGTACTGAGGGAGCGCTGCACTGTGAGAGGGTCAGTACTGAGGGAGCGCTGCACTGTCAGAGGGTCAGTACTGAGGGAGCGCTGCACTGTCAGAGGGTCAGTACTGAGGGAGCGCTGCACTGTGAGAGGGTCAGTACTGAGGGAGTGCTGCACTGCCAGAGGGTCAGTACTGAGGGAGCGCTGCACTGTGAGAGGGTCAGTACTGAGGGAGTGCTGCACTGCCAGAGGGTCAGTACTGAGGGAACGCTGCACTGCCAGAGGGTCAGTACTGAGGGAGCGCTGCACTGTCAGAGAGTCAGTACTGAGGGAGCGCTGCACTGTCAGAGAGTCAGTACTGAGGGAGCGCTGCACTGTCAGAGGATCAGTACTGAGGGAACGCTGCACTGTCAAAAGGTCAGTACTGAGGGAGTGCTGCACTGTCAGAGGGTCAGTACTGAGGGAGCGCTGCACTGTCAGAGGGTCAGTACTGAGGGAGCGCTGCACTGTCAGAGGGTCAGTGCTGAGGGAGCGCTGCACTGTCAGAGGGTCAGTACTGAGGGAGCGCTGCACTGTCAGAGGGTCATTTCCGAAGGAACTTTACATTTGAGCATGTTACATCATTAGTTAAACCAGGCTCTGGTTTGCCTCTGAGCTGAATGCAAAAGATACCTCAGTTTTACTTTAAGGAAAGCCAGCATCATTCGTTTGTGCATGTTCAGGTCAATATTTACCCCTCAATCAACCGCAATGAAGCTGATTGTCTGTCATTTTATCACAGTGTTGTTTGTTGGAGCTTGCTGTGCGTTATTTTCCTGGCATATTTGAACTGTTGGTGAAACGTCAGAAATATTTTCTCGGCTATTAAGAACTTTGGGGATGCTGCGAAAGGTTTAGCAATGTGGGGTTGATGACACTGTGCAATGTAAGGTAATCCAGGCCCTAATGAGCTGATAAGTTCTAGTTGTTTTCAGGTTTCTGAAAGGTATACTGTTGGGATGTTTCTTGAGGCTCAGTGGGAACCCTAGTTTGTTTTCCTGTAGCCTCCTCAGTGTCTGGGATGTGTCCTGACTGGTCATGTTGCTGGGGTGACTTTATTTCCTCCTCGTCCATTAATGTTGAGAATTGGAAATTGAATAGTTTCCTGCTGGCCCCAAAGTTCTCTCTTGTCTCTCTGAGGCTCGAGCAGGATGGCCTTTCCTGTGTTTATCCTTGCAGGAGATGTGTTGTTTCAGTTAGCCTCATAGACAAGAGGCCAGCACCTCTCCCATTTCATCCTGGAAAATATTAAAAAGATATTGCTAGTCAACGAGGCAGCAAACCTCTCTCAGTTTGTAATGGTGACTGTGAATCAGAAGCTCAGGCTGATGTCGATTCTGGTTGAGCAGTATATTTTTCCTGATATTTATCTGTCCTTCCTTCCGCAGGAGTACTTTTACCCCAGATATCTTGGTGAGTTTCATTTCTGTATTAATGCTGCCATTGGTCTCTGAACAATTCTGTGTACAAGTTACTTTTTGCTGTCAACATGGTTATTGAGAAACAGCCTGAGAGATGTAGAGGAGGAAGCCAAAAAGTCCTTGAGCCTGTTCCAGCAGTGAGTGAGATTACATCAGTTCTGTGTCTTAACCCTCTTTATTACCTCCATCCTATAATCTTCGAACCACCTCCCAAAATGACATGACTTTATAATTATATAAATATTTACACAATAAGTTAAATATTTTGGAAACAAGGCAACTCTGTCTTTAAAATGGATGAAAAATCTTATAAAGTGTCTTCCAGAAGTCATCCTCATGGATGGAGCTAGAATTAGGACTGGATTGTACTTACCTCAGGAGGAAATCACTCGATGCCTGATAAACTTCAATGAATATTTCCAAGGATAAACAGAAACCTCTTTGTTTAAGGCTGAAGCTTATCTACTGGTTTGTTTTAAATTGAAACATTCAAAACTATAAATGAGTTTATATAACTCGCTGGTTAATTGATTACTCTGAGGACACAAGTTTTGCGATTATGGCAATTGGGACCCATTGCAAAATGAGCCAAAGCCAAATTTGTATTAAAAGCCATGATGTAATCTGTGGTTAACGGAGCCAAATTTTAACTACCAGGAATGTGGATGTTGAAGAGAAGTTACAAGTCAAATTGTTTGAAACCAAACCCAAAGTGACAGCATCAAGATTTCTGGTATATGCACTATCAATAACTTGAGGTGGTGACTCTGCACAAGAGTTTATGGATGATGAAGGTTTAAATTGGTAGACATGAGTGTCCTTAGATATGAAACATTTAAAAGTTATTGCTAGACAGATAAAAACATAAATTCTTAACAATATTGGCTGAGCAGACAAAAAAGGTTGAATTGAAATCAGAATCAGACCAATCCCAGTTAATGCTATGATTGAACAAGTCAGATACCAAAATGCAATCTGGTTTAATAGGTCTCTTTTCTCTTAAGTTAAAATGGCAGCCATTCAGAGTCTAAGAATAAGGGGTAAGCTGTTCAAGGACTGAGGTGAGGAAGAATTTCTTCACTCAGAGTTGTAAACCTGTGGAATTCTCTCCCACAGGAAGCTGTTGGGGGCAGTTTATTAGATATATTCAAAAGGGAGCTGGACGTGGCCCTTGTGACTAAAGGGATCAAGGGATATGAAGAGAGGGTAGGAATGGGATACTGACATTGCATGATCAGCCATGATCATTATTGAATGGTGCTCTAGGCTCGAAGGGCTGAATGGCCTACTCCTGCACCTATGTTTCTTTGTTTCATTGAAATGTAGGCATGCAACGCTGTAGATTTTCTTTAACAGTAAAACAGAAGTTTGTTACGTAAAAGGGGAAAAATAATATAAAACAAACTATGTTATCTAAATATAAAACACAGTTTGAAAAATCTTGAAGTGCACAAAAAAAACAAAGTCTTACTTACCCTCCAACCCCATTACTTTACAGTGAGTCAACCCAGAGAAATTATCCTTCTGATTCAAAACTTTAGGTTGGACTTTAGTTGTTTCTCTCCAGTTCTTTGCTCTGAGCTGTGAAGTCTTCTTAAAGTGCATAAAGCCCATGGAGGTTGAAAAAGCTCCATCAGAGTCCACAGGAATAGAAGGGACCAAGGAAATCCCAAAGCAGACCCAGAGGCAATGAGTGAAATGCCCCACTTAATCAAGGAGCACAAACAAAGTCGCTTGGTAGGAGGACCAAAGCCAAGTCTAGTAAGTGGAAAAAGGCAGAACATAGATCACTCATTCCTGTCAGTGCTAAGTCTCCGAATAAAATTGTAGCAACCATAGACTGAACTGAGTTCAGGGGGCAAACTAGAACCTCTGCATAATTGGGATAAAATAATTTGCAAGCTGAAAGGCAGACTTGTATTGGGTAAAAAAACAATCAAGAGATGAAAATCTTAAAGCAATTGATATACTCAGAAAGAATTGAATTAAATCTGCTCTGATTGGGATTAGGAGAAGCTGAGAGATTTAAAAATATTTAGACAACAAATCAGTCAAGAACATCATACTTTTTGCTTAAGCATGAAAAGGTATCCATGATGTGGAAGTGTGCCCGTGTTGGACAAAGCCAGAAGTCACACTATGTCAGATTATAGTCCAACAGGTTTATTTGAAATCACAAGCTTTCAGAGCGCTGCTCCTTTGTCAGGTGTAAATGAATAACATTTTGCATTTTCTTAACTTTGGTTTCCACAAAGTAATTGTCTAACAAATGAAAGAATATGCATATTTCCAATTTTTCTTGTAAGGGGGAAGGCTGATCACAATATTTGTCTTCTAGCTTTTTTCCATGTTAGATGAGTTTGCCACAACCTTTATTTTGTTCAAGGCTGAAGCTTTGTCTCTGGGTATTTTTAATGCGAGGGAAGAGAATTTGGACTTTGCTGGCTAGGCCAGCAATTATTGCCCATTCCTAATGGACTTTGAGAAGGTGATGGTGAGCTGCCTTCTTAAATGGTGGAGGTAGACGTGCAGTGCTTAAAAGCTAAAAGTGAGGGGACTAAACAAGTTATATCAATTCAAAGTTCACTGACTACTCTGATGACATATTTGGTGTGTTTGTGGTACGGCAAAAATTGATCAATTTCAGTCATGAAAATTGTCATTGGCTCTGAGCCACACTTTATAAGGCACAGAATTCTTGACATCATCCCTGTGAAGCCAGGCTCTACATTTAAGGTCATGCCCATTGTTCTGGACTCTGCCTCGGTGGTAAAGCTGGTAATATCCCTGCCTCTGAACTAGGAGACCCTGGATTCAAGACCCACTCTAGCCACAGAGGAATCCAGTCAGGGGCATGGTGGTGTAAATTAATGTCAGCCCCCAGCCTGGATCAGCGGCCAGATTAAAAAAGTTAATGGGTAATCTGAAGACTGAACCACCAGCAGTCTTAGTGACTCCATTTAAAATGGGGAAAATGGAAAGAGAAACCGAGCAAATTCTCGACATTCCCATGAGGGGAAATAGTTTCTCCGTAACAACGCTTTAATCTCATCAGATAGGTTACTCCTTAATCTTCTCAACTCAGGGAACAGCAAGCCTCGTCCATGCTCCCAGTCCTGGTAATTTAACCCGAATACCACTCCGCTGACTCTGCGCTCCACCCCCATCCAATACCAATACATCCCTCCAGAGGACTGGTACCCAGAACTGAATGTGGTGTTAATTTTTTCTTTATCGTTATGTGTGTCATACTGCGCTGCCCGTAAGAGTGTTTGGGAGTTTTGTTGGTCTGGAATTTCTGAACACTGTTTGGAATTCCCTGAACATGGATTCTCTGTCCCCCGCAGGAAAGGAGATGGGCTCTTTCTCAGAAATGAACAATTTACCACGTTGGTTTGTGGGTCCTGATAAAGGCACCTTTACAGTGCTAATAGAACAGGAGTGTAATATACATACCAGATTGTTCGCTGTCTCCTGCAATGTGATTTGGAATGATTGTGAATCACTACCCCCTCACTGTCCCCATTTCTCCACCCCTCAATTTATCCGTCTTCCCCCCCCGCCAACTCCCTCAAAGAATTCCTGTGTGGTGAGATTCTGCACTGGGAATTTAAATTTTTCTCATTGCCCCTGATCTGTAGCTGTGAGTGTATTATACGGCTCAACCTGTTAGTGAGAATCTACCCTCCAAGTAGGTAGCACTTGCTTTCTTACTGGAACATTGTTACTGTGAGCATTCAGACTTTCTCCTTGCCTCCCCTGCAGATTGTCTCAGCCGCTACCAGGTAGGAGTTCCAAACCAGTACCGCAGTTCCAAAAAATTTCCTGGGGATTTGCGGAGCTGTATTACCGGTAAGTTATGGGAAAAGTGCAGACTGATGGGCATAAGTATATAGTTGAGACTTAAAGTAGGAGAAGAATGTGCCCCACTTTCATGTTTACAGCAGACATGTTATGAGTAAGTGAACAGAATATGATGAACATTTCTCTTTTCAACATACCCTGGCAGATCATGCCTTAAGATTGCAGCTACATAGTATGTGATAGGAGTCACTTATAGTCACTGGAATCACAAACTAAATAGTGCTGGTAAACCTCTACCCTGAAGATCTGAATGAATGAGTATTTTCTACACACAATTCAGAAAATTGTTATGGTTCTAATGCCACCATTTCAGTAATTGGCAGATAGTGAGCATCTGAACCCTGTACTATTTCAGGCCAAGTGTTGTTGTACTTGACCTAATGTGGGAAACTTTCTGTATCATCCTTGAATAAATTACATAATTGTACAAATGCTGCCAGTGGCTCAGTAGGTAGCAGAAGGTTCTCCTCTGAATTAGAAGGTTCTGCTTCAATCGTTCTCCAAACACTGCAGCGTAGGAATCCAGACTGACACTTAAGCTCTTAATTTGTTTAATTGACCGATTAATGAGCTCAGGTCAGTTCTAAAGCCCCACACTCTCTTTTGTCCTCTTGAAAGCTACCGATGGCAGAATTGTAAAAGGAACTTCTGTCGTCGTGATGTAACAGCCCTTTACCTGACAGCCATAAACTTGGTCTAAGAGATACATTATCAAGAACATCTTAAAGGAGGGGAGAGTGTTGGGGGGGGTGGTTTAGAAAGGGAATTCGAGAGCTCAGAATTCTGGACGATAAAGACATGACTGCTAGGGGTGAAGCAATTAAGATTGGTGAAGATCTAGAGAGCAAAATTGGAGGTATGCAAAAGAATTGGACAGTTGTGGGGCTAGAGGAGATTCCAGAAGTAGAGAGGGATGAAGCCATGCAGAGATTTGAATAAAAGTTTGAAGAGTTTTTTCCAATAGTGGAAGGCTAGTTGGGCCAATCCACCTTGTTTCATACAGTGCATGTTGAGCTAATACTTCTTCATGTGTATTCAGCCATGCCATGTTTTATTGTCTGGTATTTGATCCAGAAATTCCAGACCAGTGCAGCCCTTCACCATGTAACCCTGACGGCTCAGTCCAATGTGTGGACGAAGAGGCTGCGTTCACCTGCATCTGTAAGGAAGGCTGGACAGGAGTTACATGTCAGCAAGGTACGTCCCGAATGGATCCCCGAAACTGAGGTCATCGTGCTCGATTTGCATGATTTATGTCAGTGATGCTTTATCAGGCAAGCCACAGAAATGACCCAGGCTGACACCCAAACGGGAATTATAGGCTGTTAACCTGTCCATCTACCTTTGGTAGATTTTGGAGTCAAGAGAGAATTGGCAAAGAGGAAGTGATCATTCAGGCCATTATTCACCCCGGTGTTAGTGCTAGCTGTTCACCCATATCCCTCCAATCAGGTCTCCCTGTCCTCCCTTTCCAAATGATTCTTCATAACCCTTTTTAATGATGCTGTACTGTCCCCTGCAAGTGGTAGAGTATTTCATGTCACTGTTAGTTGCTGAGTATCCCATGTATTTAATCTGGGTTTCGTCTCTTTCATCCCAATGGTATGAAATACTTTTCAGTTACAGTTGTTTAGTTTGAGCTTCCCAATTCTGTTTCCATTTTCAATGCGACCCGAATTGGGGTCCAGTCTCTAATTCTTGTATGTCCTACTTCAGAGCACATGCTAATCCTGCTTTATTAGTTAGACCTAGATCTTGCTCTGCAACCTTCCTCATTGGGCATTAAACACCCAGATTTGGGGAACAGTCCTGAACCCCCTCTGATATTAACTCCACATTTTGAACTGAAGCCTTGTAATCTCAATCAATGATCTGTTAAAATCCTCCATAGTTCTAGTCTGTCTATGTTATAAACATCTCTAATTTGTATTTAAGTCTCTTTGCCATTTGATGGCGTGCTCTGTAATGTGTTACCAAAATAGCAACAAAATCTCTTACTATCTCTTAACCTGGACTGATCCTGTCTGAAGTACATCATTAATTGGAAACCTTCTGGCCTATTGCTGTAATCATTTCTTGCATCAATAATATTACTCCCTCCTTTCTTTATTGTCGCTGTCTCTTCTGACAGTGTGATAACGAGAACATCTTGATCTTGTCTGATTCCAAGTTTCTGCCAAGGCTTTTATCTCTTCCCCTGTGGTTTTGATATTCCTTTCTTCACCAGCCTTTATCTTGAAACCCTTTGTTATCTGCTGCAAGCTGCATTTCTCTTTATGTAGGCATACCTCCATTTCTGATGAAGCTGACCAGCTTTCCTTATCTTTTTGACAAGACACAGCTTCAGGTTAATTCCCCCTCATCTCTCAAGGGAATATTCCATCTTTTGCAAGGGACGTGCTAGTCTAGCCTCAGACTCAGCACACTGCGAAACGAGATCATTGGGCCCATTGTGCCTGTGTCAGAAAGAGCTGTCCAGTTAATCCCACTCGTTGTTGCTCTTTCCACACAACCCTGCAAATATTTCCCGTTCAAGTCATTTTCCAATTCCCTCCGGAAACTTAGTATTGAATTTGCTTCCAATGCCATTACAGTCAGTGTAGGAGCAGCTCACTGTCTACATTTCGGTGTAAAAGTGAGTTGTCGGGAGGATGCAGAGATGCTCCAAGGGGACTTAGAGAGGATCATGAGCGGGCAAACATTTGGCAGATGAAATTCAATGAGGAGAAATGTGATATCCTCCACTTTGGTAGGAAACACAGAAATACAGAGTATTCCTTAGAGGGGGGAGCCTAGAAAATATTGAACTTTAAAGGGACTGGAGGTTACCATGTAGGAACAGCATGTCATTAAGAAGACAAATAGCCTTTATTAAAGAGGATTTGCATAAAGGGGTAAAGGTGTCTTACTGCGTTTATACAGAGCCTTGGTGATTCTTCGTTCTTTCATCAGATGTTTACATCATTGGGAAGTTCAGTATTTCTTGCCAATCCATAATTGCCCTTGAAGTGAATGACATGTCTGGCCTTTTTCTCATTCCTAGGAAGTGGATGTTACTGGCTGGGCCAGCGTTTATTGCCTCTTCCCTAACTGCCCTTTAGGAAATTGGGATGAGCTGCCTTCTTGAACTGCTGCAGTCCATTTGGTATGTGTATATCCACAATGCTAGGGAAGGAGCTCCAGGACATTGGCACTGAAGAAGCAGCAAAATATTTTCAAGTCAGGATAGTGAAAGGTTTGGGGGAAGGCGAGATCTTGTAGGTAGTGGCACACCCATGTATCTCTCTTGGCCTACAGGACAGAAGTGGGTCATGGATTTGGAAGTTTCTGTCTAAGGAGCCTCAGTGAGATTGTACAGTGCATCATGTAGATAGTACACACTGCTGCCACTGAGCGCTGGTGGTGGAGAGAGTGGATGTTTGTGGATGTGATACCAATCAAAGGGCTGCTTTGTTTTGGATAGAGTCAAACTTCTTGAGTGTTTCTGAAGCTGCGTCCATCCATTTCAAAATGCAGTTAAGAGTCAATCTCATTGCAGTGAGTCTGAAATCATATAGGGGCCTGATCATTAAAGAACATCAGATTTCCTTTCCTAAGTAGCATGAATGGACCAGATGAGTTTTCATAACAATGTTTAATAGTTGCTATTACTGAGATTAGCTTTCACGTCCGGGGATCTTAATTAATTTTGTCACTGCTGTGGTGGGATTGAAATCCAGATTCCCAAGGCTTTAGCTTGGGCCTCTGTCATATTAGTCCGATTGTATTGCCATTGTCCCACTATCTCCTGTAGCTGGATCAATGTGTACAGAATTTGATGTCCTTAGCAATGGAAGGATATGCTTGCTATCGAGAGAGTGCATCCAAAGTTTCTAAGATGGCGGGATTCTCTCATGATGAAATATTAAATATACTGTGTCTTTATTCTCTTGACTTTAGAAGAATAAGAGGCGATATCATTTAAACAAACAGATTTCTTACAGGGCTCAACAGGATAGATTCAGGAAGGATATTTTCCCCTGTCTGTGGGTATCAATCTGTCAGGATAAAGGGCAGGCTATTTATGACTGTGGTGAGGAGAAATCTTTTCACTCAAAGAATGGTTAATTTTTGAAATCCTCTTTCTTGGGGGCGGTAGAGGCTCAGTCATTGAGTACGTTCCAGACTGAGATTTCTACATGAGAGAAACATCCAGTGATAGAGGGATAAGTTCAGGAAATAGGTGTTAACGTAGAAGATCACCCACAATCTCAATGAATGACCGACTGGGCTCGAACATGCCCTACTCCAGCCCCTTTTTCTTCCACTCTTATGTTCTAAATAATTTATTCACCTATCTCTTCCAGTTCTTTCCCTTACTGTGTACCTCACCACAGACTTCCAAATGTTAAACTGGATGTAGCTTTGTAATGAAACCTTCATTAATCTGTTCTCCAACTGTCCTCTTCTCTGATTGTCCACCAAAATCTCTATGGGATGAAGCTTTGTCATCACCTCACTATGCAGCAGCAAACATCAGACTCCTCTAACATGGCATTAACCATAGCCAAAGAAAAAATAAACTCTGTTTACGTTCTTTCTACTCTAACCATCTTCATTCTCAGGGTATCACCGGAACATGTGTGTATTGGGGGGCATTTAGTAATCTGTCAACATTTCTCAGTTATGGTGAAAACTATATCCTCAGTGTGTTAAATGCTTGTCTCTAAATCCCAGCATTGTGAATTTAAGTCCCGCTCTTAAGTATAAAAACGTGAGGTGACACTCCAAGTGTCAGTTGTACTGAGACAGAGTTGCATTATCAAAGCAGTGGTGCCTTTTGGTTCAACGTTAACCTGAAGCCCCAGCTGCCCTTTCACCAGGTCCATGATGATGCCACAGCACAACTTCAAGAAAGGGTTAACTCCCAGGGTTTTTGGCCAATATTTGCCCCTCAGTCAACATCAAAAAAAAAGATGATGTGGTCATTTTCACCTGGCTGTTTGTGAGACCTTGCTGTTTAAACTTACCTGCCACATTACAGCAGTATAATACTATACCTCAAAATGTGCATCATTGGCTGTGAAGAGTTTCGAACACCTGAGTGTATAAAAGGTACTACAGAAATGCATGATTTTCACTTTCACTAATCACCCACCAAAATTTGCATTATAGGGGTGAGAACATAGGTTCCTCTGTGGCCCCTTAAGTTTCTTAAGTTAAATGACTTAAAATTTATATTCTGTGCTCCAGAAAATAATTAATATCTGCAGTGATGAGAAAAAAAAAGTTTAAATGTTTAATTGTATTTTGCTGGGAGCTTGGTAACAAGCTAATTGCCAAGAGACAGGATTATCAAATCTTGTCATTTTTTAGCCTCAATTATGCGAAGTTTGATCATGATCAAAGGTACAAACTTATGTCTCAATTTGTGTTGCATAGATATCGATGAATGCCAAAGTGGAATATTGGAGGAGAAAGCATGCAACCATTCCTGTCACAATGTGCCTGGGAGTTATCGCTGCTACTGTGATGAAGGCTTTTATATTGATTCAAATAAACGGAACTGCATTGGTGAGAAACACAGAGGCAAAAGCCCTCAACATATTTTAAAACATTTGGATAAACATTTGACAACACAGTGTGGAGCTGGAGGAACACAGCAGGGCCAGGCAGCATCAGAGGAGCAGGAA